AACCAACCAACCAATCAACCAACAATAACAAGCACCAGTCACTATCGATGGGAGAAATTTGAACGAGTTTACTTCCTCCACTTATCTTGGAAGCATCCTTTCAACGACAGGTACACAGCACGGATGAGAATGTTAAAACCAGAATAGGAAAGTCTAGATGGACTTTCATCACTGTGAAATCAGTTTGGGAATCTTCTTCACTCAACGCAAAGAACGAAATTCGGATTTGCAAAATCAGTGTTGCGCCTCTTCCATGTGTATCTACCAATTTAACTGCTCCTGTGGAGCCAGTTACATAGGCCGAACAATTAGGCGTGTTTCTCGTCGAATTTCCGCATATCGCCCTGCCTGGTTAAGCAAACGATAAACAAAATCTATTAGCAGCTCTATTCTACCTCATCTTGTGGATACAGAACACAAGATTGACCTTAATCATGCTTTCAGGGTCATTTACCGCATACCTGCGAATCTCAATTTTGCCTTAAGAGTTCGACTACTAAATATTGCTGAGGCTGTTGGGATGCACATCAAGCAGCCTAATTTGTGCGTCCAAAAGAAGTTAGTTCAGACATTATCATTACCTTGCCCATCCAGGTTTGAGTAATCCGGAATTTTTGTGGAATTTCCCTAATTTTAGTTGATATTCTATTCGATATTATATCTTTATTATTATTATAATTTAAGCATCTTTGATGAAGTGTAATTCCATTGATCATACTTTACAAATCGATATTATTTAAAAAACATTAATATTGTTATTGACTACTAATCTAGAATATTCTATGTATATAAACATATATATATAATTGTAGAGCCAGAAGAGGAATTTATCGAAAAGAATATTCTTTGCTCGATTATTTTGTGTTTTATAAATGTTTAGTCAGTCATTTTGTTTGTATGGATAAGAAACTTGACTCACGCTTCACGGAAAGCATTTTGAACAGCCTGCTAAAGACAATTATCAACAGTTGCCTTCTCTTCCTACTTAAGGTCAAATAGGTAGCCAGAAAGAATTAGCAACAAGGCGACTATGGGAACGAACCGATCAAGAACCGATCGCTCAAAATGTTTGTCGAATAAAATGGGGATGGATCAAGTATATGCTGATCGAACTGTCGGGTGACATCTGGCACAATACAAAACTTCGAGTGTAAGCCAAATATGAAACGACGAGTTGGACTTGAGTGTAAGGGTGACATGGTAAAGAAATGACAGCTTATTGACAATCGTGGTCCCAGATAAAGGGGACTTTTGAGATAACGACAAAGCTGAGGTTAGCAACCCCATCCTGTAAAAATAAACACTGCTATAGAAACTTCAAGCCTCTAGCTTGAAGTCCTATGTTCCACTGGGAACGTGAAGGATAAAAACAACAAAACAATAATGAGAGAAATGTCATTATTAACAACAATAACAAACACCAGAGGAAAAACCAAAAATGCCGCCAGGGAATTTTTAAAAGCCTGGTACTCAAGTGAATCAGCCGGCAATTAACAGACACATCATTATAGACTAAATTTACCAGCTAATAAAAAGTAAATCACATGACAAGAAAGGTTGAATTGCCAGTCAATAAAAATGATCAACAGAGACGTAAATTAACAACCAGTCACAACAATGGTTGCCGGGAGATACAACTATATCTTCAGTCATGGGGAATTTAAATGATATAAGAATAAAACTTATGCACTGTGGTAGAGTGTAATTCCATTGTGGGTAAATTTTGTTTTGATAAAGTCTCACAGTGTTATATGGTAATGTTTACTGATACACATTGTGCTCGAACCTCTTCTGCTGTCGTCTTATCTATTGAGCTTAGTGCTACTTCTATGTTAGGAATTACATCCTCTGGTTTTAATTTATTAACTGTTACGTTGAAATTTAGTCCTTTCTCAAGTACTTTTATCTCACTAGAGCTTAGTTCCCTTGATGAGAGGTTGATCACCCACTTTGTTCTATCGATAGAGAGTAAACATTACTATATAACACTGTGAGACTTTATCAAAACAAAATTTACCCATAATGGAATTTTAATGATTTCATTTCATACTAAAACCTGCGCTGAAGATGTTGTTTAGAAAGGCGACAACGAAAGCTTCTCAGTTAAATCAACCAGCTCAGAGAACACAATTAACTCAATTGTTATTAACAACATTATTCTTTTAAATTACTGTGAATCAATAGTATTGAAAGATTACATTTCAAAAGTATCATAAAGAGATGAGACTGCATTACTATAACACTAAACTGAATATCAAATAAATGGAGAGGAGCAATACAGGATATATGAATTTATGGATTTGAAAGCAGGTCATGGTATCAATAGTGGCTGGACTTGTTTCTTTTGAATGTAGAGATTCGGTTGATTTAAGCGAATCGCAATGGCTTCTGCTGTCTGCAGTGTTTGGTAATTCATTTGCTACCCAACAGATGATATAAAAAGACTGTTTAGTGCTATCCTTGTGACCTGTTTGGACAAGGTGATCCAATATAGGACTGTTGATGGTTTTAACAACACCTTTATTTATCCACACTGGTAGGTGTTCTCAAACATGAGAGATTAAGTTCTTACAGCAGGGGTCAATAGAGATGGCTCGACGGGAGCAGATTAAAATATTCTGTATTACTTTGAAAGCCCGCTTAAAATGTACACGGCTTCATGTAGCAATCCAAAATCGTGATTAGCTGATTAAAACGGTAATAAAAATAGAGAAGAGCTTATACATTATACTGGATGGAAATTTAGGTAGCCCAGTGATTTAAGCAGGCCGATAAATAACAAAGAAACTACGAAATGACATTTAAATAATAACTACTTATAAGCAAGAGTTAATCTTCACGTTGTTTAACCCATCAGCTCTAGAAAACTTACAAAAGCCGAATAAGAGGATATTTTTAAAGAACAAATTAAAAAATTAGTGAAGGATTAGTCGCATAATGAATTCCGTCCACTTGAAACAGCTGAAGACAGCACAAATAAATTGATTAAACCGAGACTACTTGTTTAAAATGTTTTCTGAAAAGGTCAGTATGAACACTGTTTTATTCCTATTAACATTATCTTCATTTGATCTCTGAATTTTGTATTTGAAACGATTCACCTATTTCAAAGTAGACTTCATCAGAAACCAACACTAGTTGGAAATCAGAATGCTATAGACAGCGAGGTGTTCGAAGTGAATACAGGAGTAAGACAAGGCTGGCTGCCTATTATAACTGATGATATTCTTGATTATTGTGGACTGGATTATGAGTCAGACCTCAGGAATTGAGGAGACAGGAATAGGCTGGACGACCAATAAGAAGACTCTAGAAGATCTGTATTTCGCAGATGATATATGTCTAATGTGGCACACACTCGAAGACTTGCAAGCGAAAACTAACAAACTGGCTGAAGAAGCTGGCGTTGAAGACAGGATTACAGGTGAACACAGAGAAGACGGAGGTATTGAGGACAACCAACGAACCGCCACAGCAACAACAACCAGCACCAATCAGCATCAACGGGAGAGATCTAACAGAGGTTACTTCTTTCACTTATGTGCGAAGCATCGTTTCAACTACAGGCAAAATGGATGAAGATGTCGAAGTCAAAATTGGAAAGGTGAGAGGTACCTTCATCAGCCTGAAACCAGTTTGGAAATTTTCTGCACTGCACTCAGCCAGAATGAACAACAAGATTTGGATTTTCAACACCAATGTTAAGTCAGTCAGTTCTTCTATACGAGTCAGAAACTTGCACTGCGTGTCACTAAAATCACTTCCGACAGGTTGTAGACTTTCATCAACAGCTGCCTTCGCTATCCATACTGAAGATCAAATGACCAGAAAGAATAAGCAACAAGAAAATATGGGAACAAAGCAACCAAGAGCCGATCGCTCAATAAATATGTAGGAGAAAATGGAGATTGGTTGACTGGGCATACATTGAGGAGGCCGTCAAATGAAATCGCGCGCAATTTAGGCCATCATTCGAGTGGAATTCCAACGGGAAGCGATGAGTGGGTCGTCCTAGGGTGACATAGAGGAGACCGTGTGTGGAGGAGGAGATGAGAGATTATGGACAATCGTGGATCCGGATGAAGACGACGGTAGAAAACAGAACAAAGTGAGGAAGTGTTTCTGAAGCCCTATGTTTCACTCGGAACGCAAGAACATAATAATAATAAACAGCCGTTTCGTCTTAGATTGAAACTTTTTAGAACTAGGCGCCCACTGGAGATCTAGCTGATGATCTATAACTAATGATAAAACCGCGTTATTATTCAGTCATTAAATTTACACTAATCAGTAATTATTCAGTGTAACACTCATATCAATGAATCCCATTTTACACGAATTTTCAACAGACGTTTAGAAAATCCATTGATGCTGGGGGGTAGATTAGTTCTAAAAGGAAAGTTTGTGAAAATATGAAAGATTTCAAGGTCATTGAGTTCAGACAGATTGCTGAACAGAAACATTTTTGCGTCTTAAACTGAATGTCTTGAATTCGATTTCAGATGGGCGTATGGCTAACCACTTAGGCGAAACTCTTAACTGGCACGAAAAAGCTGTTTATTTATTCCTGGTTTGCAATTATTATTATTAATATTCACGCCTTGCGGTTCGAGTGGAACATAAGGCTTCAGCATCACATCTCCACAGAATATGGTTCTCTCCTACCATTTTCAGCTGACTCCAAGTCTGCTGATGACGAAGTTTATTTTGAAATTGACCCGGTCCTCATATATGCAGTTAAATATTTTTAAAGTTTCAGCTATAATTCATGCTTTCTCATACAAAAAACACAAAAAATTAAAATAAAGTTTGTACCCTATCGAATATGTCACATTCGTTAACAGCCGATTTATGACAAATTACTCTAGACAGAAACTCTAATAGATTATCACAGTTCCAATCCACTAATATTTCTTATTTTGCGACAACATTTTTCTAAATATTCTCATGCAATAATAATTTTGAAATCTCTTTTTTCCCTTTCAAAAACAACTGTTTAGGTAAGATCAATTGATGAACTACTAAATCTTATTCACCATCGATCTGGAAGTGGTTTGAAACGCATTGAACTATCAAGTGATTTAGTGACTATACCTGTTTTAGAAGAATTGGGCAATCGATGTCCAAATCTACGTTATTTAACTTTGGATTTTAGTAATGCTATGCAACTACATGATTTCAATGAGTTAGCTGCATTTCCTTCATCGATTAAATACTTATGCATTTGTTTAAGTGATGTTATATTTATGGAGGGATTAATGAGAAAAATTTACCCTTGTCTGTCAGCAGTTGAAGTTTTACATTTGATTGGTAAGTTGATATTCAATGTATCCTTTGTGTGTTTACAAATCGGATCATGGTAACTGTTGCCAGTGCTACCCAAAGAAGTTTTGACTTGAAATAATACCGTTGTGTTGAAGAAGAATTCCAGTATTCGAGCCTGATGTGAATATTAGGGCAGAATGACTCAATAACTTGTCTGTTAACTGAGATTGCACTGTTTATTTTGGTACGGAATCATTTTTTAAACGTATGTGAGTAATTCCCATTCAGATAAACTTTAACGAAAACAAAACACGTAGTTCAGCCAGTAAGCTCTTTACTGCCGATTCATTTCCTTTAGCTGTACAACTGCATCTGTATGCAGTTGTTCACGAAAGAGGATAGTAACAAAAGTGATGAATTTTCATAAGGGGAGTTGAGTGCGTTATGTTTATGTAATAAGACAATAATTAAAGGGGTGAGTTGTAATCAGAATGTATATAGGAGTGGAGAAAAATGTGATTTTACGAGGAACTTCAAAAGAAATACAAGAGTTAAAAGAAGACGGACAAACAGTAGAGAACAATAAAACTGTCATCATAATAACAGAAGTGGTTGAATAACTTAGTTTTGTTTACAGATCTCCGGTGTCTCTATCCGAACAGCTAGAGTTCCATCAATGCAAAGGAGATAAAAGCGCATTGTCTTTGTGAGGTTGTTTTTTTACTTTGTAGATTACTTTGAAGGATGGATTTGCTGAGATAGAATGACCAGTGTTGACAAGGTGTTCATTAATTGCATCCCATTTAGAGACACTTCTGCCTTTCTGAAACCATATGGAATAGTATTCTTGAATCTTTTTAGACAGTATTTGTTGTCGAACGACCAATACCTACCTATGGGCTGACCGTTTTCTAAGCTTCCACTGGGTCTTCTTGTAAGTTTCACATCAAAAAAGGAATTTTCGTATCGTTGTCTAGACCTTCATGGAACGGCCAACTGACCGGTTTCTACAGTTGGGTGACTGTTGACCACAAGCGAAATCCCTCACCACTCCCATCACACACATCTGTAGTCCTGACACCTCAGAAGCACAACTAAGTCTTCTGAAAGGAATCTTCATCAGACATGGATACCCACCTAGATTCGTTACCAAGAATATCAAATTTAAAGTTCAGAGTAAACAAACATTACTCCGTGTTTTCCTTCGTTTCTATATGCATTCTGGTTACAGCTCTCTCATTAAGTTATTCATCGAATTGTAAAAATCTAACATACTTATTCAGCTCCTCTTGTACTTTGATCAATACTAGCAACTACGATTATTGACAAGTCATCACTTTTAGGGAACACTACTAATTGCAAATCATCCACCTGGGTTACAAATCTTTTCTATTATTTCAAATATCTAAAGTTTAAAATCTCTGTATAGTATTATCACGACACCAGGTAATAATTGTACTCTGTTTATCAGTCCGAACGATGAAGAGAGTAGAAGTGAATACTTAATTAGTACAATTTTTAAATATGAAAGAAAAAGGCAATCTTTAGATAATTTCTGATTTTGACTTATTCTTTAAGAAAAAGTACTGCTGTGTAAGAAAGTCCCCCTAACCCACTGACTACTCAGGCGGTTCAAGGTTTTGATACCAGGCCAATGCACAATTCAGTCTAACTTGAACGGTAGTGAACCCGTTATAGGGGAAAAATTGTGTGTGTGCGATGCTAACAGCCCCCCCCCCACCTGGTGGAAAATAAACTCCACTACTATTGAAACTTCTGAAGCCCTTTACTTCACTAGGAACGCAAAGAATTAAGAAAAAAATGAAATAGAAATAAATTATGTTGGAAATTTCTTTGTTTGCACATTGGCTTGTAGTTTTCATCACCAGGCATAGATTTTACTGATTGAAATCGCGAAATAGGTTCAACGAAGAGTCTCTTTTTGACGAATTCAATCACTTAGCTGTACAATCTTAGTTATGCATAAATATTTTTGTATATGTGTACATTAAGTTTGTCAAGTTTAGGTTATTGCTTAGTTCATCAAAATATTTCAGAAATGTTATCAATAATCAGGGTTACGTAATATGAAAACGTTCAAAAAATTATGTAGTAAGTGAAAACAGTAAATGGGAAGGTCAGTTAAGCAAATAAATGATGATACTCAATATCTTACAAAAATTTTACAAAGTAGTATTCATAACAAAAATAGTGATAATAGTGATCACAATCTTGGAAATTAAATCGTTTTCAACGGCTGGCGCAGATGCATTCACTCTTTGTGATTTGTTGTCATATCCAATAAAATTCTATTGTTCTTTCATATTACTATTCTTTTCACCTGACATTTTCGTTTAATACCTCTCTCTATCTCTCTCTTTTGAATGTCTCTTTACTCTCTTCTCTTGCTTTGTCTGCTACATGGAGGGAGTGTGGCCAGTGGAACTGCTGCACATCTGTGCAAAGTACTGTGCTGAAACCAGTCAGTTAGTCAGAATGCAATAAAGTTATGATACGAAGTGGTTTTTAAGTTGTTGCTTTTTATTCCCTCAAGAATTCACACCTACTTCATTGTGTTATATGTATATACCTAATTCCTTCAAAATTGTATTAATTTTAGAATCACCAAGTAGAGATTTGTCTCTGTTTCATTAAGCCTGAACAACTTTTAGTTCAGCTAGTTAATTTTGCTTAAGTTTTTCGGTGGCACAGTGGTTAGGACGCTCGCCTACCATGTATGCACAATGTCAGGGGTTCGATCCCCGGCCGACACAGACCTGATATCTATGGTCAGCCTGCTAAATTTGGGCTACCGATATCACTTGCTGAAAATTCCATACTTGTATCAAAAGTACTGTGTAGAGTCAAGCTATAATAAAATTTTTTTTTAAATAAAAAAATAAAAAAAATTTATTACTACCTTCATTCACGGAAACATTGTATATAAATGAGGTTGTACGGCTAGAGCGAATAAATCGGCCGTAAACAGCTTGTGGACTAAACTACGTGTTTTGTATGTAAGTCACACTCAGATACACAGAATTATTTCTAAAAGTTTATTCTGGTATACATGTAATAATTGAAGCCCAAGTACTTCGGTCTGTACGTAGGAAAACAACAGAGTTCTTCTACATAGCTTCTCAATCTTTTGCAAGTTACTCACGGCTGAAGTTCACATTCTAACAATAATAAAAACGCACTTTAGTATGATCGAATCCGTGGTACAATAAAACACTGATAGACTACATGGAGAATACAAAACTTTATCAACAAAGTCGTCTCATAGTAATACAGTCCAAATATTTTTCAATTACGAAATACAACAAAATTAACTACCCAATCACAATCTTGAATTAACTGAGAATTAAAGGAATATTTCAAACAAGGTAGGATCAAAACTCTGTCTGCAAGAATCAAATAGAACAAAGCATGTTTCTCGTAGACAGTTGAAGGTTAGTCAGTCACTTCACCTTGTGACCTAGATTTCCCTCAAATTGAACTGTAGTCATAAAACAACACATTATCAAAGCCATGACATATAACAGCAAAGTGAAGAATCAGAAGAGACAAGTAATAAGGGCTAAGCCAAAAGAAGGTATGACAATGGTAGTGCAGTGATGTATGACTCAGGGTGGAAAGGATAAGCATTACAGAAATAGTTGAAATATTCAAGCACGAATGAATATTTTAAATAGACGGTTTATGGAAGAATTTCCAGATCATCTGAAAGAAAAGATGTCCAGTGAAGAGTTACTATTTTCAGTGATATCATTTTCAAGCTATATAATCTCATATTTATAGTAATTTATCTTGCAACAAAAAGAATATTTCTAAAGATTTTCCACTAGAATTGTAGATTTCTGATAACAAATTATGTAATGTGAAAGGCTTTAATTAAGGAAAAACCAAAACAAAATTAAATGAGTTAATTCAGTAACGACTGAGATTTGGCGTGTCTTGCAGTGGAGCAAGTGAGTGAGTGAGTGAGTCATCAGTGGAGCGACACAATGAGGCTGCATGAAAAGTGAGGGCCCATCAACTTGTGGATAGGCAGCTAGAAGCCAAAAACCGTCTGCCCAAGTGACTGGCTGGCTGGTTGGCTAGTTAGCTAGCTATTTAGCTGGTATGCTTTATTGCACGATAATACTCTGTCCAAAGGCAAAGCTGAAAAAAATGAGATAAGACTCATAGTATAGTGAACTCAACGACAGTTATGTTGACAACGGTGGTAATAAGGAGTAGACGTTGAATAGGGGGTGAGAGAACAAAAAAGAAAAAATTAAGTATCCAGATCAGTTTTGATTGCATATTTAGTGACTGAACAAAGTTTTCTGTATGCAGACTTCAGGCTTTAACATGTGAATTGTTTTTGCTTCTGAGGTTTGTAGAAGTTGGATTTGCACCCTTTCAGCAAGGCTCCCATGTATTCTGTAGATGACCTAACGTCTGCTTTGTGGGTAAGCCTGGTGTCCAAAGTTGATCAGGCGTTCTAGGATAGAGCTTTGAGAGAATCTCTTTTCTTCTTTCTAAAACTAAGAGGGTAAGTGCTCTGTGATATTTTTGAATAGCAAACCCTGATTACGGCCAACATACCAAGTTGCTTACGAGTAGGTGAATTCAGTTAATTATTCTGCTACAGTACGTAATTTAGGAATTGGTCAATTCTAAACATTTACAGTTTTATCCTATCCTCTACATTATCTTTAACATCACAAGAAGTGGAATGAATTGTATAGATATAGAGTGAATACTGCATTTCAAAGGTATGTAAAAAACTCCATATTTGTATAGTTACCTGTGTAGTTATCATTAAGGTGAAAAATGTTATACTGATGTTGATATTGTGATCAAAATAACGCGCTTTTTGGCTTTCATTCTTCGACTGAAGTCATTTGTAAAACTGCATTACGATTAACGACAGATGTGAAACCTGATATTAGAAAGCGATCACTAAGGCATTCATGCGTCGATGGTTCAACGGTAAAATGCTCGCATACCAAACATGCAACCCGGAGTCCGATTCTTGGCCGGTGCACTCCTAGACCTCGCTAAGCCGGTATTAAGGCCGGCAGAGAGGGGAGGTTGGTCGTGAGGCTAGCAGCACCCACGCCGTAAAAATAAACCACTGTTGCAGAAACTTCAAGGCTCTAGTTTGAAGCCCTATTTTCCACTCGGGACGTGAAGGAATAAAATAGAAAGTAAAATAAAGGCATTCACAATTTCTTTACTGTTAATAGTGTCTATTTTGTTGTACTTAAGATACTCTTTGTGTTTTCAAAGAAATTGTTTAGCGAACACAAAATTTACAGCCTCATAAACATATTAGTCTTGGTTTACTTGCATTCCTCGAGGTGAATAGTTTGGTAGCGAAAAATTTGTGGTCTTTCTAGGCAACATCTTCTACATATACTTCCAATAACATTATAATTTGTTTGACTAGTTTTCTCTTTTATGTCAAACTGACTGATAGATTTCTCAGATGGCTATCAACTCGTGAACTTAAATATAACAAGCTTTTAAAATACAGTATTATAAAGATATTAAAATAACATCTGTTTATTAGATCGAAGTGGAAGTTATGGTCGTGTCAAGAATCTAACCAGTTACATTTGTTCACCTCCACAAAAGTTTAAATTTCAAGTAAACAAAATAATCAACATCAATACAAGTAGACTGAAGAGTGAGAAAATATCTAGAAACAACCAGTCACTTCTGAGATCACCAAGATTGAGATGGAAGAGAAACTCTTGGAGAATTCCGAAAGGACACTTTAAACCGAAGTACATCCTGAAGATGTCGTCTAGGAAGGCATTGACAGCATAGCAATTAAATTGTTCAGGTCAGAGAACATAATTACACCAATGTCATCCATCTGAGCTACAAATCTTCTCTGTCATATCTACATATGTTTCCATCTAAGTAAGAAGACAATAATAGTAATATTAATAATAATGCCTTTATTCTGGACTGTGTTTATATAATGTAAAGAATTTTCAGTGGGACCTACTGCATGATATTCTCTATTCATCCAGGATCTTCACATAAAATATGAATTGGCAGTAGATTGCGTGACACAGTGCTGTCTGACCTGAAGCGCAAACCAACCCCCTTATGATATTTCTTCTTTGTCTCTGAGATATGCATTATATCTGATTGAAAGCCAATTATAAAACGTTCAGGAGTACATTTCAAAACCCAGAGAGAAAACACAGGAACAATTATATCGTGTATTGGGATACGTTGCCACCTATGATTAAATTTTTTCCCAAATTCTTTAGAAACTTGAGAATCACCAGAGTGTAAACATTGTAAATACTAGTGAGAGTAGAAGTTAATTGGTGGATGGCAACTAACAGTGGAATCCAGGATGCGCATTTCGTCCTAATTAGGACTCTTCACTGGATATACCTGCTTTCTGCAGTGAGTGATGATGCTGCCACCGCGGCACGAACCCAGTACCCATAGTTTCAAACACCACTAGACCACTTGGGCCACGAGAGCCACCTCTTGTGTAACGGGTCATATTAACTACTTAATTCAATGTTATATTTTTCCGTCTCAGACATCTTCGAAGCATCTACACAAGAAGCCGACATGTCAGCCTGAGACCGAGCACTTCGGTCCAATCAATCCACAGGAAAATCTGAAATTGAAATGAAACTGGTGAGAGTAGTTGATACCGTTAAAGATTATATTTTAATAGATTACAATAAAGTGAACAGACGAAAAAAAAACGGAGACTCTGACTGTACGTAAGAAACCTCTATTTGTTAAGTTACAATTTAATGGTGACTTATCAAGTGAGATTCTATTCCAAAGACTTTCAAGGAGTATACGAAGAACATTTTATGCAGCACACCTATGTTTGTCATTCTCTAGCCGACGAATGATTGGGACGCAAACGAAGGATAAGCTTAATAGTTTTGCCACATCTATGTGTATTTATCAATTCAACTGCACCTGCGGTGACAGTTATATTGGGCGTACTACTAGACAGCTTAGCCAATGTGTTTGGCAAAGGACGGACAAAAACAATTCGTAGCTCAATTTTGTCACACTTAATTGATAGTGGTCATGTAATCGAGAAAACGAGAGCCTTCAAAGTGATTCATCGTATCCCACCGAATCTTTCCAATAGACTTCGTATTCGTTTATTGCACACAGCTGAGGTGATAGGCATTCGAACTATTAAACCTAAACTATGTATTCAAAAAAAGTTCGTACAGCCATTATCCCTCCCTTGGCCTATTAAGACATAACCAACTAATGACTTCTACACCACCCTTTGTTTATATTTTCAACCCCTTTCTTATCATCCCTTAATCTTATCTTCATTATAAACGTGTTTCATTTCCTTCCCTTACAATCTAACATTACTTAATCTGTTCATTTGTTTTTACTAGCCTTTATCCACCTGAACAGTTGTTTGTTTAATCATGCTGTTTTTCATTATTCGTGTTATCACAGATTGCCTCACTTTTTCATCCTTATTATAGATAAGACCATTTTTATTATTATTATTACTATTATCATTACTACTATTATGACTGATTGCACAATTTATATTCACCATCGTATTATCCTATAGACAAAACACCATAATTGGTTTATATTTGAATTTTTATTTGTAAACTTATGCATATTAGAGTTAAGCCTGATGAGATCTAATTGAAAACAATATTGTTCACTTAAATGTGTTGTTCTAAATTTTACTATGGGAATATTTAATATATCGAAATTATATGCAACATAATGATGGTGGTTTTTGGTAGCCCAATTTTTTAGCAGGTAGCCTTATAATAGGTGTTTTTCCAAATGCTACATGAAAATACTATCTGAAATGACCAGAAGAAATTTTATAATTTAGGATAACGACAGAAACTGCTGACTGTGACTTCTGAAATCTAATCGTGAATGTTTCACGATCATTATCATCATCACATCCGTGGTAAAAACTGTTATCGTATAAACCAGTACGAATAAATAAATAAATTTTCAAGTATTGGTTTTTGTAGGGATTTGGTTTGATCGGTTGGAGGATTTCATCATGACCTAGTGGGAAGCCGTGACCAGTAGGGTGCAGCAGGTTGAATGTGAGGCAGTAACTCATCTAAGAAGACTGCGAAGTGGTGGTGCTATGTCATTAATTGGTAGAAGTTATAATTCATGGGCTGGCTGGCGGAATGGATCCCAGTGGCCTAATGGTATACGAGCTAGCTGGCCTTGTAACCAGAAGGTTCTGGTTTCGAACCTGGGTGGCGGGTGCGTACTGATGAAGAGTCCCAAACTAGGATGAAACAACTGCCCAGTACTCTCAGCTGGTTTTCCAATGGTTCTCTAACTGATGTCAGCTCGTGACGAAATCCTCTAACCAAATAAATAAATTACATATAGTTCAGTGCATTCAATATTCAGAAAGCCAATATTTATTCACCACTTTTCAGAAAGGTTATTTAGGATTGTCACTGGAATCATCAATAATCAAGGTTAATAATAATAATTAGTTGGCATTGGAACGTAGTGACAAAAATGACATTTTAAAAACTGATAGCCTCCACTTCTGTTCACTGACTTCTTTCTACCTAACTTTGTTGTATTAGTGGATTATTTGATTTATAAGAATGGAAATTTTAAATTCATGTTTACATGATATATATAAAATATTTTAAAAATCTTTAGGTATACATCGAAGCTCGCTATTATCAGTGCCATTCTTGGTTAAATACTGTTCTTTCATTAAAACTTTGAGAAAAAAATCCCAGCTCTTATTGGTATTATCCTTACTAAAAATTGCCCATAATTACCTATAAATAACTTTATTACATAAGTTTAGAGCAAATTATTAAACTGACACACCATAAATAACTTTATTTTTCAGTTTTTGAGTTGTTGTATGAGATTCGAATCATTCATGAAATCGAATGATTTCACTTTTGATTACGGAGTGATGTCATTTAGAGAATAACTGGTAACAAGGCAGTATTGGATAGCTATTTTGTCATAGCTCACGACTCTTCATCAGCATGCATCCATCGGAACTCTAACTCAGGACCTTCCAGTTACAAGGCAAGCTCATGGAACATTCAGCCACTGGGACCCCATCCATCGGCCTACGGATCCCAATATGTACTAATTCGTGGTTTTAGAGAGACCACCAGCCAATAACATCTCTAACTGACACCAGTCTGTGACTAAACTTGAAACAAATCAATTCTCCACAAACTAACTCATGAGAAGAATCAAATTCACAATTTGTAAATCAGTTTGGGCCAGAGTTCATCCGTGGTGTACCTGATGTGACTAAGCTCGAAGGACCGATTTGGATAATTTCAACTCGCAAAGGAAACCGTGGTAAAATTCCACCTCCTTGAACTGTATAAACTGCAAATTGCAAATTCGATTTATGATATGACCTGCTCGACTAAGCAGTTAACCGGAAACTGGATGATTTGAACTTACTCGGTTCTGTGAGCCGAGTCAAATTGGGTACACTGCTGACGAGTGAAACAACCGTCGGGTGTTTAGGTTACTTCAACCTGCTTAATAAGCAGTAATGGTTGACTTGAGTAGTATACAACTCATCATATCAGCCGATCAGTAGCATACAGCATCTTGCACATAACAAAGCAAGGACAGATTATCATATGCATAATCGTAAACGTCACTTGTTAATCTGCTGGTATGTAATGATCAGTGTTTAAGTGTGACGATAATGTGGCTCTCTGAACCACGACAATTTCCATAAGGCTCCATGATGAATCTTTGATGTATATACACACATAAACACCAGCCTTATTTCCTGAGTTGTTGATATCTGAGTACTTATAAGCTTATTCACTTTCGTTTTCACCCTCAAAGGTACATTCGAATTAGCTACGGAGGAAGAGGAAGAAATCTATGAGGTGAGTTGATTTTTATATTATATTTTTCCATATTATTGATTTAAGTCAATTTGAATTTCTCCACTGACTGATTATACTGAACCGAAAGTCTCAATCTCAGTTGGTATGTTGGTTCCTAAGATGGATATTTCGATGATGTCTAAATATTAATATGTTGTTGTTTGGCCGTGTGTCCTAGTGGATAGCGCCTTGACAGTTGAAAAGATGGCTGCCTGAATAGAGCACCAGAGGGAACACCATACAACACTGACTCGGGAATTAGGTACATCCAGCTAACGGTTCTCGAATAAGAGGATATACACAACATGGATTCCATTACTAGTCCCCGTCGACCAACTGACATCATGTCTTGTGGTATGTTAAAATTAAAGGAAAGAAGTTTCTATGCTTTCAAACAAACTGAGTAATAGAACCAACAATAGTTCTCATTTTTTAAAGGTGTTTTGACTTTTAGTAGTATGTGTATAGCCATCACCTCAAAGACATTTCGCGAAGAAGTATGCCATTCTAGACTTCAGTGCCTATCCATTCTGCATAGGAAAACATACAAACTGATCACTACAAATTAATTAATGTACGCATCTTGTCTTCGTCTTTATCAAGCTGGCCACATGATTACAGAGCCAAGCGAGTTATTATTATTCCCTAGGGTTCCAAGTGGAACTCAGGGCTTCAGCAGAACATCTCTATTTCATCCTCTTCCCTGCAGACATTTTTAGCTGGCTTCACGTTTGACCGTAAGACTTCTTCTCTTCCCTACATGATCTCCTCTATGTCACGCTCCTACTCAAGTCCAATTCGTCGTCTCCCATTTAGGTTGCTGTCGAGGGCCTGACTTACGGTGTTACTCAACAGCCTTCTTAACGTATATCAAATCTACTTTCACTTTATCCGGCATATTTTTTTGGGTAATAGGTTCTTGGTTGGTCTACCTAGTCTTCAGTATTGAACGTAGGACACTGTTAGTGAGAGTCTGCAGCAAGCTTTTGGAAATCATTTCAGTAACAAGCTAAGTGTCTGAACTAACTTGAAATTAGTGTTGAAAATTCTGATCTTATTTTTTATGCTGAGTGGAAAAGATTTGCACAACAACTTCTTGCTTCTCTTATTCCGTCTTTGATATTCCTATCCGTGGTACCAGTAGTTGAAATTGACTGAAACACCAAAATTCACTGGTTTATTCACAAGTAGTGCTGCAGCTGAAAATGAATAAAATTGATGTCATTTGAAGTCAGCTTATAGATTGTGAAACTTTTTTGACAAAACAGTCATAAAAATAGAAACATGTTGAAATATAGTTTGTGCGTCGGTAGCACAGTGGTTAGGACTCTCGCCGACCATGCACATGGTGTGGGGTTCGATCCCCTGCCGACGCACACCCGATATAAATGGTCGGCCTGTAAAATTTGGGCTACCGATATCCATGCTGAAAATGCCATACTTGTACTGAAAATACGGTGTGGCATCAAGCTGTAATCAAAAAAATAAAATATAAAAATTAAGTTATTCATTAACTAAATTTAAGTTAAGAGTAGTTTACACCACTAAAATATTTTCACTTCATCAAACAGACAAAAGACCTAAGTAGTAGTGATACGAATCGCATTAGTTTATCGAGTATTTTTAGTGGTCGTTTGACTTTCTAAGTTAATTTTCAATAGTTGGTTTGTAAGGATTAGATTTGTTTATACGAGTATGACCACGGATTGATATCAGCTAGAGAGATTACTGGACGGCTGTTTCATCCTACTTTGGGAATCATTGACAGTACGCACCCACTGCCAGGGTTCGAACCCAGGACCTTCCGGTTACAAGGCAAGCTCGGATACCATTCAGCCACTGGAACCCGATTCAGTGGCGAGCCCATGGATTCTAACTTCTACCCATTCGTGATTTAGCACGACCACCAACCAGTGGCATCGACGGGACATCCATCCTCACACGTGACTGGTTGGACCTCACTGGTTACGACCTCTCACTAAAACTCCAGGAAACTCCGTCCTGTAGCAAGTCAATAGCAAGCATCAGAATAATTTTCGATGGTTGGTTTGCAAGGATTAGATTTGTTGGTGATTGCGCTAAATCATGAATTGGTAGAAGTTAGAACTGATGGGCCACTGAGTCGGGTCCCAGTGGCTGAATGGTATACGAGCTTGCCTTGTAACCGAAAGGTCCTGGGTTCGAATCTAAATTAATTGACAAAACCAAACTAGTTTCCAATAAATACATTATCAGTAGTTAGGTTGCTTACACTTATTTCAAGAAACTGCCAGCAGTACATGACCAAATGTTGTTTTTATTTCATTTATATTCACTTATCCATAACAGTGATTGCTTAAGTAGCGGAATGATTTTTGATAAAGCAAAGAAGACTAAATTTATATGATAAAATGACATCACTATTATGAAAGCTTTCTTTATTTCCCAACGAATGAAAAACAAAACGATATTGTATCTACTGACATTTCACCATTTTTTATTCTCCTAAAAGCTTTATCAAAGTACTACTAAACCAGAATTTACAAAACCTCAGCTTATGTATAATAACTTAATCATCGTTCATCAGCATGGGGTAATTTTTGCGTCGTCACAACATCAGAGTTTTCTTCAAAACATGAGACACACTGCAAAGCAACCTTGTTCATATAAAAGACCAAATCCCTAAGGATTCTCTATCTGATTGTGTCTACGGAATAAAATGCATGGAATGTGGTGCGATATACATAGGACAAATATCATGCGAAATCAAAATCAGAAGAAATAAACACCGTAGAGCATCTGTTAGACCACCGATAAATCCAGTCAAACTAGAAAACTTGAGTAATTATCAGTCATAGGTCTACACGCTAGGAAATCAGGCCACAAAATTGATTTTGACAGTATTGAAATCACTCGGAAAAATTTCAGAAATCACAAAGAACACCTTGTTTCAGAATCACTTCATATTAGACAGAATCCAAATTGTCTGAATAGGAATGATGGGTTAGGACAAAATTTAACCTGGTTACAACACCCTCTCCTCCATGAAATGACAAAATCAACAGAAATGTGATAAGCAGTTTCATTATGCGAACAGATGCTTCTTTTATAATTTTATACGCTTATCAAATCCAACAATCTACACTTGGTTTTGTTATCCTTATCAACTGGCCAACTTGACAACGCAAAAATTACCCCATACTGATTAAGGATGATTAAGTTGTCATATATAAGCTGCGACTTTGTATATTCTGATAAAATTTTACTTTGATAAAGCTCTTATGAATAAATAGCAAAACGTCAGTAAAATCAATATCGTTTTGTTTTTCATTCATTGGGAAATACAAGAAACTTTTATCATAATGAATATCATATACCAAAAGGCCAAATTTTTTTCAAACTGTTAAAAGTGAACTTGGTTTGGACATATATAAAATGATATCATCTTATTTCTCAGGCTGTCTACGTCCGCAGAATATCTGAAATCACATTGTTTATTAAAGGATGAAAATAACATGTGTCAACCTTGAAATTATGACAGAGTGAATGTTATGCGGTTCAGTTATCCAAACTGTAAACATCACAATCTTTTTAGGTAAAGTCATCATCTCAGTCTATACGCATTTGAAAGTAGAAAATGATGGAAAGTTGAAGACAAAGAACACACAGAAAACAGAAAAAAACAGTGTTAACTTATAAAGTAACATAGCGAATCAAGACAATTATAGTTCCTAAGATTGAAATTAGCTCAGTGGGTTGAAATTACTGATGAAGATGACTAAAAATGAGGAACTGTGAGATAAGACAATGTTATTTTATAGCGCAAATTTGGTCTTCCTGGCATTATCGGAAATCATTTCAAGGGAACCATATGTATAAAATAAAATTCTGTTGATTGTTTTACGCTGGCTATCCTACTGTAGTTATTCTTATGGATTTACAACTATAACACCACAAATTGAAGTTCATGAAAGCCGATGTTCACTCAAAGCATTTTTATCTTTTAAAACAACTACTGATTTATAAACGGAGCATGAGAAGGCCCATAGATGTATACTTCTAGTAGGGATTTAAAATGACAGAAAACATCTGTAAATTACTCCTAGACTTGGAACTGATTTGCAAAATTAAAATTTCATTCTAAAGAATACTGTTGTCAGATATGCAGATTACAAAGTTCTTGGACCTATCTCTGGTTTTGAAGGACCAAGTCTAATAGTTAGAATAGTATGCACTATAACCGACACGGAATAAGAGAAAACGGTTGGATAATACGATTGTTTATTCTTCATTTGATAACGAAACAGATTAACAATTGTTACTCAGTGCTAAAGTCTGTAAATAAACGTTAATTTAATGTCCAACAATACTTCTGATCGTTTTTCTCCAATCTTCTGCCACCCATTACACGATTAAGCAGTGATAGCCTTCTTATCTCCCGCAAATATGGCGATTCGTTCGAATAAACAAACCATTCAATGTTCACCAGCATTGATAACTGTAAAGCAAAATAATATCTTTAAATCACAAGTACAACAGTTGCAGAGGTTCGTTTCAACTATGATAAACAGTGTTATAAACAAACCGTACTTTGTTTTCATTAAGAATGCAACTAAAGATAAGATTCACATTCCTTCATCAATTTTTTTCTTCTAAATCAGTACATCGAAAGCCATTATATACATTTCATGATACTTTAAGATATCGTCCACCAGTTCATAAATATTTTTTCTGAAGTTAAGTAAAGTGACGTAATTCAGTGGCGGAAACAAAAAAATGTTAAACTGCTTCTGACTTAAATTATTGAATCATTGAATTTCTCTTAGATTTATAAAACGGAAAGTATAATTCAGCAAAAATCTTGAAAGATCATTGTTCTAAGTAAATTATGAATGAATTACTTGTTTATAGGAGTTTGCTTTGTTTCACGTTTGATCACGGATTAATATTAGTTAGCGAACCATTGGTCACAACTTCTCCCTAGAACTCCAAGCAAATTCGTCCCGCAGTCAGTCACTAGTGGGAATGAGACTAGTTTTCAAGAGCTTGTCTGTAGAGATTTGATTAGTTTGAATTTAGATCACGATTGATGTCAATTCCAGAACCAGGTCGGATATGAAGAAAAATAATCTTGGTGACATTGGCTGGTAGTCACGTTGAAATTGCAAATGAAGAGGATTTAAAATTCATGGGTCATTGGTTTCTTGTCCAGGTAGCTGAACAGTCAACGAGTTTAAACTTCATAACCTGAAGGTTCCAGATTGGATCTCTTTCAGGATCACAGGTGCCTAACACTGAAGAGTCCCGAAGTGGGGCGAAACAGATGTCCGATACTGTCTGGTTTTCAATGGCTCTCTAACAGACGTCAGTCTATTGTCAAACTTGCTACAAATCAAATGCCCACAAACAAACTCGTCGTTTATATTTATGCCGACTCCTAGTACTGATACTTCGACGAGGTCTGAATGTTCGAATGATGTTATTTGGATGAAGTTAACCAACAATCGAATCCAGGGTGCGCATTTTGCTCTGTGTAGTACTTCTATCCCAGTAGGAAGACTATCACTCATTGGAGTTGCAGGTACGTCCAATTGATGAGCCCTAAGTAGGACGAAGTGTGAATGCTGAATTCCTTTGCTAGCTACTACCAGCCACATGCAATACAATTTATTGTGAATTGTGTCTAATACGGAGAAAGCTGTTTTGTGGGTTGTTGTATTTTTTATCCTTTTTTTAACCTCTGACAGGCAAACAGTTAACTGTTACGCAATTTTTTTAGTGGCTACTCACAGACAAATGATTTATCTATGAATTTCATCTTCTCACTTTAGGTAATCAATATTAGTAAAATCAAAGCGCATACGCCTAATTTACGCGTCGTCAACTTATTCGGCATTAATTTCATTGAAGATAGTCATGTGGAACTGTTAGCCAGTAATTGTATCCATTTGGAGTGTGTTGCATTGAATTTTTGTTTAAATGTTAAAGGATCATCATTTGCATTGTTGATAGCAAATTGTAAAAAGGTTAAAACGTTACTTCTTGAACACTGTGGTAAGATTAATTAATTGTTTATTGTTTATATTTATTTTGAATATTCGGTTCAATTGTGTTAATAATAATAATGGCAGAACATTAAATTCGTTTGCACTATACATATAAATTGAATCTTAACACCTTTAATGAGTTTGCTTAGTGCATAAAAGTACTAGGCAGCATCGTTTCAACTATAGACGACTTCACGGATGAAGCTGTCAAATTCAGGATGGGGGAAAACAAGACAGGCCTTCATTAATATGCAATCAGTGCGGAAATCTGTAACACTCTGTACAAGAAAAAAATTCTGAATTTTCTACCCCAATGTCTAATCAGTTTTTCTATACTGTTCAGAGATTTGGCTCGGTCGTCATGAGGAGCATTTCCAACAGCCTGCTGCAGACCTTCATTAACAGCTGCCTTCGCTCCATACTGAAGATCAGATAGCCAGAAAAGATAAGTAACAGGAGGCTCTGATAATGAACCAACCGAGAACATGTTGCCTCGGAAATATTCATGAGTACATAGAGATGGATACGATATATGCTGAAGAGACCTCTGAGTGGAATCCGAACCGGAAACGACGTGTTGGGCGTCGATGTGAGGGTGACAAGAAGTAGATTATATTAAATGGAAATGAAAGCTTACGGAAAAGCGTGGAATCGGTCATAAAAGGTTGCAGACACCAGAGTGTAATGACGGCGTACTACTGAAGCCTCATGTTCCACTCAGAACCCTAAAGAATAGTAATAATATTATTAATGAAATATGAACATCTTAAAACGTTCGGCCTTATATAATAAAATAATGTAAACAGATTTCAATAAAGTTCATGTTTGAGAAGAACAACGAACCTATGAATTGATGGCATAATGTAATAAAAAATGTTTCTTGTCGTATCCTTGAGTTTCGCATCCTTTGTCAACTTCAGTTTCAGAATTTTGAGACAAATTTGTTTCTTAGGCACCGAAGCTTTATGAACTCATTTCTAGCACTTTTGTGAATCTTCTTCTAGTTACATTTACCCCGGGAATAGTGTCATTTCATTTAAAAATACATTTGTGATTACACACTCAGTGCTGATGTTTCACAGTTTCTTAACTTGCTTTACATACGTCTCATTCCTTCCGTGTTTTCCAAATACGATTTTCCACATTATCTGGGAATGATGTCGTATCAAAACAACTATCTTTATTATTCCCTTGGGTTATGATTAGAACACTTCATCCCGTTATCTACAGTCCTTATAGGCTGACCACACGATTACACGAAGGCTGTCATCTACTGTTAACACGGCCTCCTCCATGTCACCCACGGGTGCCCAACTCTTTGCTTCTCATTCAGATCTTACTGCAGTGATGGATTGGCACGAGGTGTTCCCCAAGGGTTTCCTCAGCGTGTGTCTGATCCATTTTCATTTTCTTTGGAATATTTGTTGAATAATAGGTTGCTGGTTGGTTCATTCACAGAGTGTCTTGTCCCTAATTCTTCCTGGCTAGGCATTTTATCTCCTGTATGGAGCTGGCGAAGGCAGCTGTTGATAAAACTCCACGCTAGGTTGTTCAAAATGCTCTTCGTGACGCGCGAGCCAAATTTCTTACCCATGTACGAGAACTGGCTAACTCACCATTGGAGTTTAAAACCCGAATCACGTTGTTTATGGTGAGTGAGCAGATTCCCAAGCTGAATATCTGTCTTGCCTTTCAGATTTTGGTTTTGACATCCTCAACCGTGCCGCGTGCCTGTCATTGAAAGGATGCTTCCTAGATAGGTGGAGGAAGTAAACTCGTCCAAATTTCTCCCATCAGCATTGACTGGTGCTTGCTGTTGGTTGTTGGTTATCTCCTTAAGCTCTATCTTTTCTGTGTTCACCTGAATTCCTTCTCTGTTTCTTCTCCCAGTTTACTGGTTTTTACCTGTAAGTTTTCGAATTTGTGTGACACTGGACATAAATCGTCCACGAAGTCTAGATCCTCTAGAGTCTTCTCCAACATAGGTTCCCTTGTTGATGCTGCGTAACTTGTCTTCGACTCTGCTCTGATAACTGCAGTGAAGGTGTCTGTTTTAGTTTCATCCTTCAGTTTCTGTTGAATTCACCTCAAGTTTATTTCACTACTGATAACTCGGTAGTGTGTTCTTTTCTTTAAAGTGGTAACATTTATCCGCTTGTTCACATGTGGGTTGAAAATTAATTATAATGTGAATGTGGATTAATGTACCGCTGAAGCCTTACGTTCTACTGAGAACATAAGTAATAATAATGTCATCTAGATTGTCTGCAAGTAATTGTGACTAATTTTGAATAATTTTTGACACAGACTTTACACTTAAATCTCGTAACAGATTATTTCACTTACCAAGAAGTACTATCTAAGAAAAAAACTGTCTACTCTTTACAGAACGACTAGTTTCCTGGAATATTAAACTCTACTTCTGAACTAACCGAATTACCTTAAACCTATACATACATTTGTAGTAAAAGCATTATATTAGCTCATTGCGTCTACAAATTATTCACGAGTTAGTCCCACTTCCTTTTTTAAATCAACACTTTTTGTTTTATTAGAATGTCCGCGAGACAACGGATATCTGCAAAGATTTATAAGCAAACTTGTGGAATATGAAAATAAAAGGATGGAAAAATACCACAATGAATAAAAAGCCTGTATTCATCCACTTAGAGTTTAAAAGTGACGATATTGTAGGGATAACCAACCGACAACTTAAGAAATCACTGACTAGGACATTCCCTGTGGCTAGATTCATTCCTGAGCACCAAACAACCCGTTCATTCGTTCAGTCGAAAATCCTTTGTTAGCTTCCGAGGCAGATACATTGGAAGAACAGAAAGAAGGGCCTATCTCATATTTTCTGAACGCATACCAGAAAGTCTGCAGTAAAGAGGTAGTGTATCTCTAAACAGAGCAGTTATGATACATCTGACTGCCATATAACATCAGGTAGACATCTTGGATTCCTTCAAAATAATAAAGAAACAATCAAGCTCAAGTCTTTTACAGTTTACAGAGGCCACTGCTATCAAACGGTTAAAACCTGACTTATGCACTAAAAAGAAAGCTGTAATAAGCCTTTCGCTACCTCGGTATCTCATCTTTTGATCTTAACTGATTATATATTCTTTTATTAGATAGAAATGTTGATTTCTTTTCACTCTTACTTCGTTAAATTATTACGCATTAGACTCCATGCTTCACTTATGTGATATCTAATTAAAAGCGCCCAATTCACTATACATCTTTTCAGAGCTCACTTTTGTATTGTCGATTTTTTTATTGTCATAATATACGTACTTCAACAGCTTGTTGCTACCCTTTTTAATCGATAACATATACAAATAAGTACAACAGTACTTTATATTTTACTAAATAAACATTTCTATCTATCTATCTATCTATAAACGATGATCTTTGTTAACTATTGTCACACATTTTCTCTAGAACAAACTTCTTTTATTTTGTTCCTTTACTATCCGGATGGGATATATTTCTTCAAACTGCAGCTTTAAAGTTTCAGTAGCAATGGTGCTTATTTTTTTTCGGCGTAGAGTAGTTAGTGTAACGCTCAACCTCCCCTCTTTGCCGAGCTTCCTACCGGCTAGGCGAGGTTTAGGAGTGCATTGGCCAGGTATCGAACCCAGGACTACATGAGGCATGGTTGGCGAGTATTCTAATGCTGTATTACTGACGCATACTTCAGCAAACTAATGTATGTCAGAATTATAATAACACTATTAACTTTCAGGTTTTATGCAGTAAGAGGATACTGATAAGACCGGGTGGATTTGTTTATTTTGTTCAATGTGCTGTTATTGTTTTGTTCAGATATAAAATATTAAGTATTTCAATTTTAAATTACTATTGGAAGCATTGCTTAATTAATAAACTGAACTCATATTATAAAACTTATTTATTAAAGGTCTTCGAGATGAATATATGATGGCTGCACCATGGGAAAATTCTGGCATATGTGAACTGGATATTACGTCTACAGAATTATCTGCAGAATGTCTTGAAAATTTCCTTTTGCGCATCCCGTATTTCACCTATCTAGCCGCTGGTCATACAGATTTCTTCACTGATCAGGTATGTCTAAAAGAAGGAGTCTGATTGTCTTTTCTTATTTAAAAAAATGGATATAATTTACCCATTGGTGCTTAAAGCGCTGTTTAATTTGAGAAAATGTTATGGAGCTTTTGATTATCAACTGTAAAAATCTCATTGTTTCTTATTGTCTAATATATAAGATAAAGATTTCAGCGAAAGAAATTCCCTTTTCGACAACTTCATTTTCATCGCAGTATATATATGAATTACAGTACACAAAACAGTTAGTTTTCTTGTATGTGTGCGTTTAAGTTTGACAATGAGAGGAGCGTGTTCTTTGCTGTAACTCTATCAATAACCTATTCTAATCGTCCACTGATGCACCTAAGTGTTAGGGAAATGGTACCTAGATTGTCTGATTTCATGTGTATTTATATGTTCATCTTCTCTTGTGGAGCTAAGTACAGGGGATGTTCGTCAAACAACATATCACACCGCGTTCAACAGCACTTCACACCTTGGCTGTGTCAAGGAGAGCGTAAAATGCATTCATTCATCTATATTGCTACATGAAGTAGATAATGACTACCTGATACGTCCTTTAATATAGTCGATAAAGTCCGACAAAATTTGCTGAAAAAGAGATATAAGTATATTTACTTTATATAGCGGAAGCTTTTGCAATTCATAACACAAAGTCGGAAATTTCCCAGACAAAATCAGTTTGTATGATCTGTTTCTTTACTATGGTCTTGATTTTATCCTGTGATAAAAAAAAGCTTCTTTATCCTTCTTTATTCCTTGTCCCATTTCTTTCTTGTTTTATTTCACCTTAAATTATTACACTCTAAGATTTTATTGGTTTTATCTTACTGATAACACTCCAGTCATCTTACTTTTTCCCATCTTGTTGCATTCACATATTCACATTTCTGAATGTACCTTATCGTTCTGTCATATATTCCACGCATGTTTATTGCACTATATGTTGACTCTTAACTATTTAAGTATGATCACGAATTGATCTCATTTAGAGAACTATTGAAAACCAGGGAGTACTAGACAGCTGTTTCGTCCTAGTTTGGGAATCATCGGCAGTACGCACCCATAGGATTTTGAACCCAGGACCTTCTGGTTACAAGGTAAGCTCTTAGACCATTCAGCCACTGTGACCTGATTCAATGACCAGTTCATGAATTCTAGTATCTACCAGTTTATGGTTTTAGTGAGACCACCAGCCAGTTTCATCGGTGGCTATTTGTTCTCACTCTCAACTTCTGATTAGAACTCCAGTCAATTTCATCCTGAAGCCAGTCAATCGTGAGCTTTCACTCACATCTCTAATCAGTTCGTGACTAATAATTATTTGCACTAATATTTTTTTATTCTTTCACGTTCCCAGTAGAACATAGGGTTTCAAGCTAGAGGCCTGAAGTTTCTGAAGCAGTGTTTATTTTTACAGGATAAGGTTGCTAGCCTCATGCCCAACCTTTCCTCTTCACCAGCTTTTAGTTCTGACTTAGCGAGGTAAAGGAGTGCGTCGGCCGGGGATCGAACCCCGTACCATGTGCATGGTTGGCGAGCGGCCTAACCGCTATGCCACCGACGCCGCTGAAAAAGAGATATCAGTATATTTACTTTATATAGCGGAAGCTTTTGCAATTCATAACACAAAGTCGGAATTTCGCTGACAAAATCAATTTGTAGGATCTGTTTCCTTACTATGGTCTTGATTTTATCATGTGATACAAAATAGCTTCTTTATCCTTCTTTATTCCTTGTCCCATTTCTTTCTTGTTTTATTTCACCTTAAATTATTACACTCTAAGTTTTTATTGGTTTTATCTTACTGATAACACTCCAGTCATCTTACTTTTTCCCATCTTGTTGCATTCACATATTCACATTTCTGAATGTACCTTATCGTTCTGTCATATATTTCACGCATGTTTATTGCACTATATGTTGACTCTTAACTATTTAAGTATGATCACGAATTGATCTCATTTAGAGAACTATTGAAAACCAGGGAGTACTAGACAGCTGTTTCGTCCTAGTTTGGGAATCATCGGCAGTACGCACCCACGGGGTTTTGAACTCAGGAACTTCTGGTTACAAGGTAGGCTCGTAGAACTTTCAGACGCTGTGACCCGATTCAATGGCCAGTTGATGAATTCTAGTATCTACCAGTTTATGGTTTTAGTGAGATCACCAGCCAGTTTCATCAGCGGGTATTTCTTTTCACTCTCAACTTCTGGCTAGAACTCCAGTATATTTCATTCTGTAGTCAGTCACTCGTGAGCACTCATTTATATCTTTAATCAGTTCGTGACTAATAATTATTTGCACTAATATTTTTTTATTCCTTCGCGTTCCCAGTGGAACATAGGGCTTCAAGCTAGAGGCTTGAAGTTTCTAAAGCAGTGTTTATTTTTACAGGATAGGGTTGCTATCCTCATACCCAACCTTTCTTCTTCACCAGCTTTTATTTCCGGCTTAGCGAGGTAAAGGAGTGCGCCAGCCGGTGATCGAATCCCGGACCATGTGCACGGTCGGCGAACGTCCTAACCGCTATGCCACCGACCCACATGCACTAACATCACCACACTATTATTTCCACTTACTGTCAAACATTAACACACAATAAAATGAAATCGTAAAAAAGATAATTTTCTTCGCTCACAATCGGGATGAATGATTTTATTATGCATATCAAATAGTAAAGCTGTGAAAATCTGAGATCACAACACTCTACAGTTTCTAAATTTCATAATCAGAGATTTGCCTGAAAAGGTGCATTTATAGTTCAGTACTAGGGACTGTACAGTCGGTGAAAGTCAGTTTTACACTGTTCTTAACACTGATATCCCATTGAAATAAACGAACTTCATAATTATAGGCGGCTTTTATAATGTATAGTGAAAATTTGTCAAAATATTCTACCTCTTTGGTCTTTATTTCGTAATTTCTGCATTGCTTAACAATGATCTTCACTTCTCTACTTCGCAAATCAATCCATCACTCCTCTGTTCAAGATTCCCACTGAATATATCACCAATGTATCACTTGCAAATTCTTGTCAGTGGCATATGTTACAAGATGATTAACTCATATTTCATCGTATTTTCTTTCAGATTCTAAATTCACTGTGTGAAATGGGTAAATTCAAACAAATCAAGGCAATTGACTTAAGTCATACACCAGCATTGGGTGAGCAATCGATAACAAATTTCTTGAAAACTCATGGTCATCAGCTGCATGGTCTTATGTTACATGGAAAAGCTACTTTAGCTGAATATTTCTGGACAACAGTTATTCCATATCTTGGATCAATAAGGTATGCTGAGTTTTTGTTGTATTGTCTTTTATTATAAACAAAAGAGTTTGAACACATTTTTAGGTATTGTAAAGGATATGTTTCACTTAGTTTTTGCTGTGAATGACTAGTGTGAGACGTCAGCCGGTATTTAGGATTGCATTTCCAATTTCATTGTTTTATCCAACTCACAGTAAAATAAGACCAGCTGGCAGTCGAGGTTCGACTGCCGGACGATGCACCCTTTAAACTTCTCCTAGTTTTCTAACTGATAGTGAGTCGTGAAAACGGGATGGTTAGGCGTGACGCTAGCATCACATCAAAACCGTTACTGAAACTTCAAATTCTTGAAACTTAGTGTTCCACACGAAATACTAAATTAATAAGTCAAATTCGCGATTTGAAAACTAATATCTTATTTGAAATTTACACAATTCTAGATAAAATCACATTTTGTTATATACACCGAAATTATTCGGATAGTAATATATATGATCTACTTGATATACGAATAGCACTGAAAAAAGTAAACATAAATGCATTATGCTACATACCACTGACCGATTAGTATGAGCAGTTGGATCGTATGATGTCTACCAGTCGTACTTGCTAGTCAGAATCAAGTGATCTAAGTAACGGACAAGCATTGATACATTTTTTTATTTTATTTATTTTTTTATTTTGATTACAGCTTGATTCCACGCCGTATTTTCAGTACAAGTATGGAATTTTCAGCATGGATATCGGTAGCCCAAATTTACAGGCCGACCATAGATATCAGGTGTGCGCCGGCAGGGCATTGAACCCCGGACCATGTGCATGGTCGGCGAGAGTCCTAACCACTGTGCCACCGACGCACAAGTGGCATCTAGCTATGCATATCAGTCAGTCAGCAGTGCATAGCTTCATTCAACTTATATTATCTGATAATTTCCTACTAATTCATGAAAAAACCGGTTATACTCAATATTTTCAATGGGATATCATTAGTTATTATATCCTAAATATCAGGAGGTATAATTCATAAGAAGACTTTTTCAACCAGAAGTTAAAGTTACTAGTCAGTAAGCAGTTCTACTCACAAAGTGTATTTGATATGAAATATAATTTCAGGATTTCGTTATGAACTGACATTGGTTAGAGGACCGTCGGAAAACCTGGGAGTGCTGGGCAACTATTTTGTCATATTTGGGTACTCTTTAGCAGCACGCACCCACTGAGGTTCAAACTGAGAACCTTCTGGTTACACGGCGAACTCATAGACCAATAAGCCTCTGGGACACGATCCAAGGGTCCAACTTCTACCAATCCGTGATATGATGCAATCACTAGTGAATGTTATCTTTGAGTATTTGTGCTTCATGAACCATTGGATTGCGTCCCAGTGGCGTCATGGTCTACGAGCTCGCTTTGTAACCAGAAGGTCCTTGGTTATAACCCTGTCGGTGGGTGCGTACTACTGAGGGGTCCCAAATGAGGATAAAACAACTGTCCAGCACTCTCAGCGTTACCAATGGTCCTCTAACCAATGTCAGTTCATCATGAAATCCTGAAACCCATCAAATCCCTGCAAGCCAACTCTTAAATATAACCGCCGTAATAACTATTGTCTGTAAAATACTGAAGTTTATACTTTCGAATGCATAAGTCATAACTACTGTATCATTAAATGAAAATTTTTGACAGAATTATTAGTGCTAAAATACCATGCGTAATAAACACTCTGTGGTTCAGTGCAGCAGAATATGAGCTGACCACTCTTAAACATTACTTAGTTGCTACTAATTGTGGTAGAGAAGAAAGGTTGTGCGTGAGGCTAACAGTCATTCATAATTCAAGCTTGAAGCCCAGGAATGCAAAGGAATGAAAATCAATCAATAAAGCATGTACACACATTTATTATTTAAGGGTGATTAGTACACTTTACGATGCAAGATGGATTGTTAGGGAAATCAAAATCCGCTCTTGGAAGGTTATTTTCAACTCGTACGTTCTCACAGATATTTTTTAAATTACAAAATGTCCTTATTAAACCACTTTACTTAGAAAATCTTGTCATAATAAATGATGTTTTGCCATTACTCTAAGTTGATAAAAAGTCGGATAAATATGAAGTTCAATGAGACTTGTAGTCATTACAGTTAAATTTAAACTAGGTACTTCAAAAGTATTGAAACAAAGGTGTATTTTTGAAGTCTTTAGTGATCTCAAATGTTATGTGCAATTTTTGTTCAATTCAACACAAATCACAGACATTTCATTACAACTTATCATTGATCATTCCCTCCTTTTAACTTCTTCAGAGTATGTGTCCTCGGAGCATCCCATGGATGGTTTTTTAAATATAATACACGTGTGCATATTGATAAAGTACTTGAAGGTTTTGCTGGATGTTGTCCAAATTTAGAAGCATTAGAAATACAATGGGATCCAGATACTATTCGTTTCAGTGATAAGAGTAGAAAATTTATAGATCGAATAAGGTAAGTAAGTACTGTGTGATTTGTGTTGAGAATCTCTGTTGAGATTTTTATTTTTTTGTAAGTATAAAATGTATATTGGAGTCTACTGAATGATTATTTACCTGATAAGGAAGGTATTCTTAACTTGCCTCCCTCTAAATAGAACTGACAAATATCACGTAAATGAAGTGAATCTGTTTCAATTTGGGTCCACTTGATCTCTATATTTAGACCAAGTTCAAAATCTATACATAGACTGCTAGTTTAAGGAATAACTACTGAACGCACCTGATTTGAGCAAGTAGAAATGGCGAATAAAAATGTCATCTTTCTATGTCCACAAATCAATATATATATATAATCAGAAGTGACAAAGTTCAGCCTTTACTTTGAATACATGCAATTGTTGTCTAAGATGATCAACCTTTATGTAAAACTGATCGGTGAATACAGAAAAAGAAAAATAATTCGATGTAATTATGCTCATTGGGTGTGGTTAGAAGTCGGCTTTGCAGGCGACCCGATTGAAGAAGAATAGGTGAGAAACAGGAAAGATGTGTGTATGGTTAGAGTCACTCACTCAATTACATCGCTGGTATTCACAACCCAGACTGAAGTGATTTAACATACAACTGCCAATCCACTTTCAGCTTGATTATAAAGGTGAAAACATTGCAGCAATGATCAACAAAAGGTTGAGCACATCATTAGCCATAGCCTATCCTGCAGCTAAGCTCGTTCCCGTCTATCAAACAACTTGCTCCTTGATGCAATCAAAAATCGATAGATATCCTTCTCATGTTAACTCCTACTGTATATACAAATTTACATGTATCTTTGGGAGCAGTGACATTGGAAGAACAGAAAGAAGGGCATATCTACGATTTTTTGAACATGTACCAAAAAGCTTACGTCTAAAGGGAACAAATGCTTTAAACAGTGCCATCGCCAGGCATCTCCTTGACACGGGTCATGAGGTGGACGTCGAAAAGTCGTTCAAAATTATCAGTAGGCAAAAGAGCTCAATTCTCCTTAAGTTTGCTGAAGCCATTTCCATCAAGCGCCTGAAACCTGATTTATGCGTTCAGAAAGAAGTGGTTATCGGTCTTTCTTTGCCTTGGTAACTGGATATTTTTCATCCGAATGAGAAATGCTGAAAAGTTTTCATTGTGTATGATTATTATTGTTCGGAATAGTGTTTAATATTGCATTTATATATGTATATATTGTTAGTGTATACATATATTGATCGATTGATTTTTGTTTAAAATGAACTCTGTGCAAGTATGTTAAAATTATTTTTGTAGATTCATTTAATAATGTCTTTGCCCTGTAAGCAGTTGACGAGGAGGCAACCTAATAAAAGATGGTACCATTTTATTCTGCTAAAACTGTAGTTCTTGCTTTGTTCAAATTCCTTAAGGGGAATAAATGTATGAAACTGCCGTTTCATTCGTTAAGAACCGAAATACTCGCAGATGTGCACAGACTAACTAGTCACAATGAGTCATATCGTTTTAAAATAACTGTATAACTATCAAGCTACTGTTGTGAACTGAAAAATACATAGGATCCAACTCTTTTTTCGCAAAGTAAACACCTCTAGCTGAAATTTCGCCACTTTTCTCAGACTACTCAAATAAATCAGTAGTATCTGTTATGCTGCAAATCTTACTTATAATTTTTTTTTACCATCTACTGTGTCACTCTGTTTACATTTTCTGATGTTAGTAGATTTCTAAAAGAACCCATGACAAAGTTTCACATCAAGCTATGTACTTTACAAATCAGTGATTTATGCCATTCAAGGGGAACGTTTTTATTAGTGGATAGAATTCTAGAGATCTCAAATTCTGTGCTAAGAACTATGACTGTACTACTGAGAGTTGAAGTAAATTGGATAGGATAATAGTAATATGAATGTTTGATGATGTCATCGAATACGATGAAAAGATAAGGAATAGAACAGTAAATTAAGCCATAAATAAGTAACAAATCGTCAATACAATGGAAGATGAATCAGGAAATTTTTCCTAATGAATGAGTTATTTTTCATTCATTTAATTTTTGACGTTTTAGCACAAAGTCAATTAATCTAGTACTAAACCTCTATTGGCTTCATGAAAAAATGTGTTCATAGCATACAAGGCATGTGTCCAGGATATGTCTATCAGTAGTAGTAGTGTAACATAGAAGGCAAGATACGGAGGCCAAATCAAACCGCTGTTTATATATCTACAGTTTATATTCGTTAACCAATCACTGAGCGTGTGATTTCGGTTTACATCAAACGATATGAAATACAATTTCGAAATATATACATAGTATTCTCTTGTTAATCCAGCATATAATCGTCGGAAAAGTATTCTGTCTATAACATTGGATAGAATGTTCAAACAGATATATTGTATTCTGTCGTTAATGTCGTATTGAACTGTGGCAACATGTGAGAATAACATTCCGTTGGCACACATTGTCTGTATCACACCACCATAGTAGTACTCTGCTGTCCTGCTTATCTTCCTGTTAAGATCTTGGCAAATGTTCAAAGACTTTTAGCATAGGTCATCTTAGATCCTCCAACATACATGCAACTAAAATTAGAAGTACACAAAAAGATGCAACTGAAGGTTAGAAGTGGAAGTCTCACATCCCCAAGTTAACCTCTTTAGACATGTTCTTTGTGTCGTTGAGGTCTTAAATTTGCAGCACGATAGGTGTGTGTGTGTGTGATACATTCAGTTAGTCAGCAATTTTTCTTATGAAATCAACTGAATACATTTTTCTTTGACACAACAACTTTCATTTAATTTTTCCTTTTCACATCTAAATTACGTGGTAAGATACTTCGTTAGGTATACAACAAAGTTTTTAAATCTTTCCAAACTATTCATTCGAAACTAACTCAGACTATCAGTGTCATGCTTTCACTTGATTTGCAAAAATTTGAATATGAAGTATCAGCACTTTAGCTCTCTAAAACAGTTTAAAGCCAGTAACCTTTGACATCCATTAGTTGGAATTTTTCTATAATTATCATCATATCTTTAAATGAATTCCTCAGTCATCATTAAAATAAGTTCCATGGAAAGTGCCTATTATATTCATTCAGTATGAAAACATGATGTTTAAAAAAGCAGAAGTTTAGTGAAAAGTCATATAAATACTTTATTGAATATTTCTACTTAAACTCTGCTGTTGTAGACGTTTTCATTCTACAAAATCACCATCATTATGATAATCTAGACTGAATGTACTCGAAAGTCAGCATGGCTTTTATAGCCGCAGTAAGATTGTGAGCAAAATAAAAATGCTTTTCACAGACAAAGTATTTGTTAACGAAGAATATAATAATAATAATAATAACAATAATAATAATAATAGAAATAATTTCAAACTTATTAAGGCAAATAGCTCAAGGAGAATTATGAATACAATACACTTTGGCATTAGCACCGAAATATACAGATCTGTCGTCTCTTTTCATTCTGCAATCCCATATTAGATAGGTTTATTTGAAATAACATGCAATGATGCAGTATTAGTAATTGGAATCCAGTTCACTTCTAAAATTAGGAAACGACTTTATTTCATCCCAACAAGAATCGGTAAAGATAGGTTTAAATGTTTAGATAATCGGGTCAGGAGCCTGACTAGTATGCCAGAAGATTTGAAAAATTAAAAAAATAAGAAAAGGAAATACTACTAGTGACTAACTATCCAGCAGAATTTATTCAGAAATATATAAGGAATCATGGAAAAAATAACATCAGTAATAAAAAGGATGGAAATAATATAGAATTCAAAGCTCCTCTAGTAATGTCATATAAAGAAAGAACACCAGAAGCCTTACATAGGATTCTCAGTAATGATGTCTCAGAGATAAACTTTGTCAGCCTAAGGACTTGATAGATACAATTAAGAAAAGTAATATAATTTATCAAATACCATATAATGACTGTGAGGTCAATTACACAGGTCAGAATAGTAAATCGGAACATAAACATTCAGCTAGGTCTAGAATGATTAACCCTGCATTGCATTCACTTGCATGCAATCATACAATAGAATGGGATAAGGTGAAATTATTAAAAAGTTAGGTGGAGAAAGAGAGAGAGAAAGGTTAATTACTGGGTCTTTGTTTATTGATTCAACACCACATACGTGCAATCGGAATGATGCAACACCTACACCGGAGATATGGGAAATAACAGCAGAAAGATATATATATATATATAAGGCAAATCATGGAGTTGTGTGACTAAATTGGTATGATTGTGAGTAATAAATTGTGCTGGGAATGTCATCCAGTCATCAATACTGGATTACTATGTGTTATTTGAAATAAACTTATCTAGTATGTAACTACATTCGATCATAGTTTTCAAGTTCTACACTCACATTATTTCCATTTTACACTGGGTATGAGAGAATTTTTTACAAATACAAACTAGCAACATTGATTTCACATCCGTATATTTTCAAAAGGTTGCAGTTTTGCATTTTAAAAATTCATCATACTTATTATTATTGTTTCCTTTAAATCCTAGAGGAACATAGGGCTTCAGCCGTGCGTCTCCATTGCGTTTGGCTCTCTGCCCACATGCTTTCATCTCCTCTTCACATAACCTCCTCCAAGTCACCCTTGCACTGACGACCAACTCGCCGCTTCCCTTTCGGGTTCCACTCGAGCACTGGCTTGTCTAGTGACGTCACTTGATGGTTTCCTCAGAGTATGGCCAATCCATCTCCATTTCTTCCTGCCTATTTGTTTCACAATTGGTTCCTGGTTGGTTCGCTCATTGCCGGAGATCTCTGTTGCTGATCTTTTCTGGCCGGCCATCTGATCTTGAGTATTGAGCGAAGACAACTGTCAATGAAGGTCTGTAGTTTGTTTGAGATGCTCTTTATAACGCGCCAAGTCTCTGATCTGTATAGTAAATGGCACTGACTTCACATTGGAGTTGAAAATCCGAATCTTATTTTTGATGCTGAGTGCTGTTGACCTCCACACAGACTTGAGAGTAGTGAAAGATTGTCTCGCTTTTCCGATTCTTGCTTTGATATCCTCGTCAGTTCCGTCTGCCTGTAGTTGAAACGATGCTTTCCGGGTAGGTAAAAGAGGTTGTTTCTTTCAGGTTCCTCCCATTTATGCTGATTGTTGTCTGTTGTTGTTGTTCTTGTCCAGGAATGTTCATCACCTCTGTTTTCTCTATGTTCACCTGAAGTCCAGTCTTCTCTGGATGCTTCTTCTGCCAACTTGTTGCTTTTCAATTGCATATCTTCCAGTTTGTGGGAAATCAGACATATATCATCGGCGAAGTCCAGACCCTCCAGGTTTTTGTGTGAGTCCATTTTATACCTGTTTCCTCATTGCCCGCTTTTTGTCGCATTATCCAGTCTACTGCAATCAGGGAAATCATTGGCGATAGTAGGCAGCCAGCTTGTCTTACTCCTGTCCTCACTTCGAAGGATTCCGTAAGTTTCCCGTTTCATCATACTTAGAATTCAATTATTCTAATGTTTATAAAACTAGTTACCAGCCTTAAAAATATTTTTATATTTCCTCTTTTTATGTTGATTATTTTAGAATCAAATGTCCTCGATTGAAGTCTTTAACTCTCAGTGATGGTAAATATTATGAAATGGTTAAGGGGAATTTCGAGAGAGCAGAATGTCCACGTGTTGTACGTACTACTACAACATATAATACAAGTATTATAAGCCTTTTAGAACGTTATAAAGATTTAAGATTTAATTGAATAATACGTTCTTAGTTAAAACACACATTATGTTATAATCCAGTAAACTTTCTGGACATCAGTCAGAAAACATTTATCTGAAGTGTAGAAAAATACGAATTCTCCTGTATACAGCAAAACTGAACATTTTATTCCAAGCATTCATTTAAAATATCCAACAATTAAGAAATTGAACATTTAACAAAATTTAACCGCAAATTTCAATTTTGTCCAGAACTCAGGATGGTGCCTATCATAAGTTATATATACTTGCTAATTCACATATTTTTTAGATATTTTTCGATTATTAATGCTCTTCCCAAATCTTATTCTGTTCAAATTTACTTCATTAATTGTTTTGTTAAAGTAGGTATTTTCAAATCTTTACTTGTAATTAATTTACTTTTACTTTGTACAACCATTTTTCTTGTATTAGAATGAAACTGAATCTAAGTGAAGGAACTTTAATGTTTGTTGAGAAATGATTTATAGCTCTTCACTTTATTACTTCTTATAGAATAATAAATAGGCTGTAATAAAAAAGGAGACTCTTACTTAGCTGAAACCATCTCTAGGAAGGATATTTTCTCGTGAAAAAATATCAGTCCGCTGGGAAAACAGTGAAGATGAAGGAGTACTGTTATGCGACAAATACATGAAAGAAAAAAGCTAACCATTTTAGATTTATTCATGTATAGATTGTTTTCATATTTCAACTTATTAAAATCAATAATTATTTTACTGACTGTTTTCCTCAATTTGTTTTGTGGTTAAAAATAAAACAAATCAGGTAACTGGGTTTTAGTTTATGGTGAGTTTTTAAAAACTCTAGGAAACATATAATTAACTCATTTTCAAATGATTCTCTGGAAACAAACAGCAATAAGCTATCACTACCTACTATGTCATGCCTCAACGTGATTGAAATATGCCCATGACTTCCAGAATTTCTAAATATATATTTGATTGTCGTATTTACATTTCACATAAATCGATCTGTATTTAACTTCTGTCTGTCTGTCTGTTTTCGACATAGAACTTTGCACCTATGTGCGGCAGTTCAAGTCGCCACACTCCATGTAGCACACAAAACAAGAGAAGAAAGTAGGAGAAATGCATAATAGAGGCAGTAAACAGAGGTGTGAGACAAAGGAATAGTAATAACGAAGAACAATATAGTTTCATTGGAAATCATAAGTCACAAGGAGTGGATGCATGTGCACCAGTCATTGAGAATGATTTTGAGCCATGTCACCAATTGTTTCCATCCATTGGTTTTTACCGTCCTGAGGACCCCAACCAGGAAGTCTACATCTTCCTACGTGGCTTAGACTAACTGTTGTATATTTCATTGACTGGTGCCATGTTTTAGTTTGACCGCCGCTAGCTCTTTTCCAGCCTGACCCTATGTCAGCCAGCTAACATTGCCCATTGTCGAGGAAGGCGATGACTAGGCATACGTAACACATGTCCTGGCCATCTCAGTCGATGTAATTTCACAGTCTCGTCTATTGATTTCCCCGCCTTACCTAGCACTCGACGCCTAACCCCAATATTGCTCACCTTATTACACCACTTTATACGGGAGATGGAACGCAGACACCTATGATCCAAGACGGCTAATCTTTTCATGTCTTCCACTCTCAATGGCCAGGTCTCACAGTCATAAAGGAGGACGGAGCGGACTGATGAGCAGTACACACGCCCTTTGGTCGATAGTCGGATATCACGTGTACGCCAGAGACGACGTAAACTGGCATATGTGAAACTAGCCTTCTGTATCCGTGCTGAGATTTCGTCAGAGATCAACCCGCTGGGGCTGATGGTACTTCCCAAGTAAGTGAAGCGGTCAACGTGCTCTACCACTTCACTTCCTATTTCTAATCTAGGAGTCTGTGTAGTCCAATCCTGTAACATCATCTTACATTTGGCGCGAGCGAATCGCATGCCAAACGTTCGTAGATTGCGGCTCAAGGTGTTCAGAAGACTCTGCATTTTGTCAGAGTTCTCGCCTAGAAGGACTATATCATCTGCATATTCTAAGTTAACGAGATTACTCCCTGGTAGCAAGTCAATCCCTGAGTCTCTGAAGTGAGTTAGGGTTAAGTCCATTAGTACATCTATGATGAAGTTGAATAGAAAAGGGGATAATGGGCATCCTTGACGGACGCGTTAGCACTGGTAGCAGGAAACTAATCAAAAGACTCTTTTACCTGGAGAAATCTCCTCTGAAGAGTAATATGTTCTATAAAGAGATTAATATGGGAGAGAACTTTTGGAATTTCAGTAAGTAGTTATCATTTAGACAGGAATCGGAAGGAGCCAAATACTCAGTGAATCTTTTCGGCCACATATTCAAATAAAAAACCCTGAAGATGAATTTAACATTGAAAGGCATCCCAATAGGTTATTTATTTCACACTTAATTGTGTACATAATTGCACATTGGCATCAAAAAGAGCAATACAGAATTTGTTAAACTAATACTGACATTCCCTTTGGTAACTTCAACATTAAAGAATGAAACTGTGTCTGTATGTTTCCTAGTGTTAGGATTAGGTATACTGTAACCTGAAAAAAAGAGGTTAAATTCAACAATTTCTTCTTTTTACAGGAATTCAGTATGTGATTTGGTACTGTTAATAAGAATATTTTCACAGATGAAAAAAACAATGTAGCACTTTGTATTTTTGGGATCACTCAATAAGTAGAAACGACCATATACTTTTGTATTTCATGTTAGTTGAATCTGAACCATCAAATAGTAATCAAAGTCGTTTTTATAGACAAGCATATTGACTAAAATCGTGAACATGTAGTTATCTCAGTTGTGTTATTCACTGGCTGGGATAGTGTTCAGGCAAATTAGCTTTTCATATTTATTGTTATTGTTCGCTTGGGTTCCGAGAGAAACTTAGTGCTTTAACAGCACATATTTCCTTTGTCCTATTCTCTTAGGTCTCCTTCATCTGGCTGCACAATTGCCCATTGTTTTTCATCTCCTCTCCAAATGATTTCCTCACTGCAACCTTCACATGCTCCACTAGTCGTTTCTCATTTAGACTCCACTTAATGGCCTGAGGCGCGATATCACTCGACCGTCTTCTCAGTCTGTGTTCCAGACATCATTACTTTCTGCTGAATATTTATTTACCAATAGATTCTTGACTGGTTCATTCGTAGAGTCTCCCGTCCTTAATTCTTTCTCGCTAGACATCTGATCACTCACATGGAGCCAGCGAAGGCAGCTGTTGATAAAGGTCTGCAGCAGGCTGTCCAAAGTGTTTTTGGTGATTCTCCAGCCAAGTTTCTTACCCCATATATAAGAACTGTCTGACTAGCCATTGATGTTGAAAATCTGAATTGTGTTATGGTGAATGCAGCGGATTTCTAAACTGATTTCAGAGTGGTGAATGTCTTTCTTGCCTTTCCACTCCTGGTTTTGACATCCTCCGGCGTGCTGCTTGTAGCTGAAAGGATGCTTCCTAGATAAGTGGAGGAAGTGATCTCTTTCAAATTTCTTTTACTGATAATGACTGGTGTTTGTTGTTGGTTCATAGTTAATTGACATTCATTCTAATAATGAAAATTGGTTATTTTCATCAGCATAATTCTTGATTTCTAGGAACCGCTTTATGGAACTATTTCAATTTGTGTTTGGCTAGTTTTCTAAAAGGCTAAACAAATCACCACGTACTGTAATTTTTGATAAAGATATCCGTAGCTGACAATAAAAATACAGAAAAGTTGGTTGATTTGAAAAAAGGTGGTGATATCTTATATCAAGTAAATGGTAAGTGAATCTATCTATTGACAGTTTGTTCACAAACAATCACTTTGAGTTCTCTTCGCAAGTATTCGGGAACGAATGGTGTTATCAAATGCAACACCGTATTGTCTGCACTTTTCATGCTCATTTATATTTAGATAACATAATATTTCCCTTAATTTACTTTTGTATTCGTTTGTGTGACTCATTATACAACAGCACCAGCAAGTGAAGTGAAAGGGTTGACGGACAGCGTGTTCGGTTTTTCGTTGGCCAGAGTGACCAAGTTGCTGGTGTACGAGATGTATTACCTCCGGGACCTTCAGACGTGGCACGAGAAGGCGAGGCGATGATGCCGGTTCGACTATATACAAGACATTATCAATCAGGCGTAGCATACCCCACTTACCACATATGCATCTGGTTGCGTCAGACAGACTGTGTAGTTCTTTACTCGACGGTTTATCGTTCCCGTGAAGCTGTCGTGAGTAAACACGTTGGATGTCGGCTTCAGCCGCCTGCAGTGCTGCCCAATCAACATCTAGGCCTGTATTTAGTATAGCATTTACCGGGGAAACGTAAGGCGGTAGACAGGAGAGGGCATCAGCGTTAGTGTGCCGGGACCCAGGGCGATACTCACAGGTAAAGTCGAACTCCTGTAACCGCTCCTGCCAGCGAGCAACCTAGCCTTCGCGTTCGCGAAAAGTTTGAAGCCACTGCAGGGCACGATGATCAGTGCGTGCTCGAAATGGGCGTCCGAGAAGATAATGGCGGAAATGTTTGAGAAAATGGACGAGGGCCATCATCTCTCGGCGTGTCGTGGAGTATCGGGTTTCACGTTTGTCCAGCTTACTGCTAGCATATGCAATAACCCGTTCTTGACCATCAGGCGCCGTTTTGGAGGAGGACAGCGCCAATGACAGTAGCACTTGCATAAGTATCTAAAATGAAGGAGCCAGCAGATGGAGACGTGTCAGGAAATGCAAGGATGGGTGCTGACGTGAGGCGTTCCTTCAACTCTTTAAAAACGTTTTGGCACTCACTAGTCCCCAAAAATGTTACGTTAAGCGATGCAGAGGTGACGCTATAGTGGCGAACGTGGGGACAAAGTGACGATAGTACGACGCTAAACTCAGGAAGCTACGAACGTCTTTACTACACTGCGGTACGGGCCAGTCAGAGATGAGGCGAGTTTTCGCTGGATCTGTCTGGATGCCATCTGGTGAAATACGGTGACCCAAGAAAATAACTT